CATGTGATTGGGAAGTAAAATTAGCTCCTAAGGTCGAAATGAAACCCTTGCCTTCTGGACTGAAATACGTATTCCTAGGAGAAGAGGATACCTATCCAATTATAGTCAACAGTGCCTTAACAAAAGGTCAGGTCGCGAAATTGCTAAAAGGGATAGGATACACTCTAGATGACATAAAAGGGATAAACCCGCCATTATGTATGCATCTCATCCACTTAAAAAATGAAGACAAGTCCTCAATAGAACATCAACGTAAACTCAACTCCGAATAGGAAATCTGGTACTTAATTGGGAAAAGTGTCATTTCATGGTACAAGAAGGCATTGTGTTAGGACACAAGGTGTCATCAAGAGGGATAGAGGTAGATAAAGCAAAAACCGAGGTAATCGAGAAACTACCGTCCCCTCACAATGTCAAGGCAGTCCATAGCTTTTTGGACCATGCAGGATTCTATCGTAGATTTATTAAAGATTTTTCAAAAATCTCAAAACCCCTTACCGAACTATTGTCCAAGGACGCCACATTCAACTTCTCAGTTCAATGTCACCAAGTGTTCAAAAGGTTGAAAGAAGCTCTAATCTCACCCCCGGTAATCCAACCTCCGGATTGGAACCAACCTTTCGAACTAATGTGTGACGCTAGTGATGTCGCTGTAGGAGCCGTGTTAGGGCAACGCAAGGATAAGAAACTACATGCCATATACTATTCTAGCAAGATGCTAGATGAGGCTCAAGTCAATTATACTACCACGGAGAAAGAATTATTGGCGGTAGTCTTCGCATTTGAGAAATTCAGATCTTATCTTGCGGGTTCCAAAGTGATAGTATACACAGACCATGCGACCCTAAGATATTTGCTGTCGAAGAAAGACGCAAAGTCGCGCTGATGCGCATGCACCGAGTCTTATATTTAATACCTGATTCGTACCACTATCCGCAATTATACGGAAGTTGTAGTACCGAGGTTGAACACGAGGACTAGGATGTATTAGTCTATCTCTAGGCTAGAATGGAAATCAAATAAAAATATGAATGATGGTGTGTGTCGGAATGGAAACAAACAAATAAGATTAACAGTTTGTAAAGGATGATTCGAGGCGTTGTAAGCTCGAGATCCCTCAAGAATCACAAGGACGGTTAGTGATGCTACAATGCCTATGGGTTTATCTCCCAAAAGGGGGTTTCAAGCACTTCTTCTAGAGTTTGTCTCTCCCGAGCTTAAATTCACTACCTAGAGAATCGATTCACCCATCTCCCAATGACCTAAATGACCTCTAGATGCATTAGTGTACCCTATCATGAACCCTAAGCAAGCTAAGCCATCTTCCAATGTGAATAACTCACTCATTTGACATTTGGTTCCAAACATCATTCCCATATCCCTATGATCAATGTGTTCTATGGTCATATCGATTAGGGGTTCATCCAAATCAATAGCATTAAGCATAAAACATCAAACCCATGGAAGAAAACTCAAAAAACATCATAGATAAGCATAGGTGTCCATACAAAAGTGGGGATCCTTCACCCACAACAAAGTCACTACTCCATAACTAGAGGTTCAAAACAGAAAACAAAAGGGGAAAACATAGAAAAGGAGAAGAAAAGCTCAAGATGGTCTTCAATGGTGGTCTCCTCTTTCAAGATGTCTCCCTAGGTCTCCAAATCTATCTTGCCTCTTCTCCAAGGTGATTTTCTCAGAAAGGGTCGAGTCCCCTTTTTTCCCTTCTCAAGCTCCCCTTTTTGTGTAAGTGCAAAAACTAGGGTTTTTCCTCAAAAATCGTGCTTTTCCTTTTTGGGCCGGATTTGATATCGGGCGGTCGCTCACTTTTTGTTCAGGGTCGCCCATTTTTTCTTCAGTGTCGCTCGTTTTCTTCAGGGTGAGCGACCACTCATATTTACGAGTGACCGCTCGTTCTTCTTTGCAACTCGAGGCGACCGCCTTGTTTAACGAGCGACCGCTCGTTCTCCGTAATGGCACAGAGCGACCGCCTGATTCTGCGAGCGACCGCCCAATTTCTTGGCTGTCACAGCGAGCGACCGCCTGGTATAACGAGCGGGCCGCTCGTTTTCTCTGAGTTCTTCGGGACTTCTCGATTCCGCTCCTTTTCCGTGCCTCATGCGCAAATATCCTCGTTCGATCATCCTGCAAGGAGAATGGAGGAAAGGATCCTACCCATGACCGTCTAACGTCCTATTATGCCTAAAATATGAGAAAAATCAAAGTGTGTGACGTTAGAAAAACCGATGGAAAACCCGTGTGATCAAATCCCCCCAGACTTGAGGTTTGCTCGTCCTCGAGTAAATGTGCGTATAAAACTATCCAAGGGGTGATAAGGTATAGTCGGAGTGCGAATAGGGGTTTCAAGTGGATCGGTTGTACGGGTTAAAATTGCTATGAACGAAATCGAGTTTGGTATACTTTATCTTCTCCAACATTCGAACAAAGGCTTATCCATGGGATTTCTATTGCTTCCCACGATCTAAAATGAAGTGTTCCCTACTTGCCGAGCATGCCTCCTGAACACATCCCAATTGAGAGCCCCAAAAGTCACTTAGACTATAACTTCATTGTTTTCTCTTGCCCCCATATCTTGCCCCAAAAATCTAGCCTATAGCTTTTTTTTCATATGATGTAATCCCGGGCTTTTAGGACGTTGGAATTTGACAAGTTCACTCTTTGCTCCTCTTTTTTTTCTTTCTCTTTTGTGTCCTTGCCCCACAACTTAGACCCGAGCCTTCGTTTCCGACGCACTCATATCCCCGAATGATTTTCATAACGAGTAGATGACAGAGGAGTGTCGGGATACATCGTATTTTCTAGGGCTTGTTGCTACCTATAGGCTTCCTAACTTAGAGGTCAAAAGGGTGGTTTTTAGGGAGACGTTGGCACTTGGTTCGTAACCTCTACTCCACCTAGATTTTAGGAGACAAAATCATCCCACGTGACATTCATTCGTTCTAGGATTGGATCAGCTATTTCTACTTCAGTCGACAATCCATTCAACGCTTTAGAGAAATCTAAACTTACTCGTAAAACATTTCCAAGCCAATCTTCACTCTATATCCCCACATCATCATCCGGCTAAACCTTTGAGAGGGAAAAACCTTATGCAAGTGTATGCATGCATTCCTAGACCTATATGTACATATGGAACCTATTAATGACAATCCATGCAAGTATGTACACGATGTAAGACTCTTTTTTTTTTTCTCGATGAATATGGAATGCGTGATTCTAAGTGCAAGTGATGCATGATGTGTAGGGTTCATGGGTACGATGTACGTCAGTGTCACTCCTCCCCCCCAGACTTCAATCAAACACCGTCCACGGTGTTAACTCTCGCCTAGCGGGGAGATGCCAAAGAGGAAATAAGGAATGATTGGTTGAAGTGGATGAGTGTGTTACCTTTTTACGATGAGGTGGAGTTGCATTCCAATTTCTCTTTTGCGGGTGTCATGAGCCCATGAAACCTATGCAATGTGAGAAGGCTACAATGCCATGGAATGTTAGCTAAATTGAATGCAAAGGGGTTAGAGTTAAGAGAGGGGACCGAACGGGCCTTTAGCAGGACCCGTGGGATGAGGACTCTTGTCCGGAGTCTATGTCGAGGTCTGATGAGACTTCAAAGCGGATTCCTTCTTCGGTGAGAGGAGGTAGCACAAAATAGGCCATGTCGAATGATCGATACCTACTCTCGACGTCCACAAACCTCCATAGTATGTCCCCGTTTTGTTCTTTGACAAAATTGTTCTCCAAAAGATGCATGTAGTTGATCTTGTCCCCGTGGATGAAATCATGTGCATATGCTCTAAGATCGATGCCCACTCGCTCTGCAATCATGGTTACGATTCCTCCAAAACAAATTGACTCGGTGGTTGAGTTAATTACCTTGTGCATATGCAGTGCTACCCTAGACGCGACGTCCGTAACCTCTAAACGGTTGTTCATCATGAAGTGGAGAGGTTCCATGAGCATGTTTAGTTCTGTGATGGAGACGGTTTGCGTATTCTCTCGTGCAAATAGGGTGGATGCCATGAATTGCTGGAGGTAGCGGACTGCGGGATGTCGTATCATGAAGGCATCGAGTTGCCAAGGAGTGAATGTCGCGGCCGCTATTTGTGTCTAGAAGTTTCTACACTTAGCGATCGTGATCTTTGGGATTGTCGCCGTGTTGCCCGCTTGAACGCCCAAAATTTGAGTGAGATGCTCCATCTTGAGATAGTATTGGCGCCCTTCTAAGCGGAATCCGATATAGCTGCTGCGAGGGTCGGCGTTCCTTGGCATGAAACATTGGAAGGTGCAGGCGAATTCCGTTGTCAATGAACGGTATGTGCGAGGGTTGGCGTGGAGTAGACGTTCCCATCCGGCGAGTTGGAATATACCCTCGATTCTCTCATAGAGTTGCTTCGGTCGAATGCCATGGTGCACGAATTTTGAAGCCTTAATTCCCCTCTACTGGATTTGGTGGTGGAGAAATGCCTCCTCGTGGGATCGGGGTTGAAATTGGATCGGTTCCTCGTGTTCTTGCTCGGCATCAATACAGATTGCATCCACAAGACTTGAAAAGTGGGCATTTTGTGGCTTGAAGTCTTGTAACTCCGGTATTGTGTCTGAAATGTATTTCCGTGCTCTTCTCCAACAGTTGCTGGAATCCATCTGAAAAAACTAAAAACGTCGGAAATTGGTCAGAGAAAACGAGTGACCGCTCGTTTTGATGAGTCAAAAAGTATGATTCCAGGCGACCGCTTGAGCGATCGCTCGATACTTGAGGTTCAGGAGGAGCGAGCGGTCCGCCTGTTTTCATGGGCGACCGCTCGTTTCTCCTATTTTGCAAATGGGCGACCGCTCGAAAAAACGAGCGGTCCGACCATTTTGTCTGTGAGAAAATTTTTTTTGAGGCAAAACCCGAGGAGATGCTGCATAAACCGATTTCCGATAAGATCGATAACCCTTAAAACATGTCAAAACATCATATAAATGCCCAAAGATCCAAAAAGAAGAACACAAGTCACGGGTCATAAAGAACACGTCTAAACATAGTTCAACGGAAAGCATAGAGCGTTCTATCCTAATGATCATCGAGTCAAGGAGCCGTCTTCTTGCTCCCATTGCTGGTTCCTGATGCGAATTAGGCTTCGGTGTCACTTCCTTGGATTGATTCTCCCACGTCAAAGTCTTCATCATCCATCATTCTCTCCATTGTGTGGATGATCTCACGCTGAGTGCTCTCGATAGAAGTGGTGAAGATGGCTTCTAGAGTGGAGAACTGGTCCTCCATTGATTCTTCGATCGATGTGAGTCGGGGGCCTAGCTCTTCGATGGCGGTGAGACGGGTGTCGAAGCTTTGTAGGTTCTGCAGGATGAGGTCCACTCGAGGATCGGGGGCGAATGTTGATGGACCTTCATTGCCTTGGGTCGGTGCCCCACCTCTTCTTCCCCTCGGGTCTCTTACTCGAGCTGGAGCGATGTCGAGGAAGTCTAGTCGCAGCGTTGCGGGTGTGAACACCTCTAAGGAATTGCTCGGGAGCATTATGTATCTCTTCAATCCGTCATCTCCCGTGTAAACCCATTCGGACCCCTTTCGTCGAATATGTCCTCTGAGTCGAAGAGCTTCCATGTTCAGGAGGATATTGGTATCGACGATGTCGGCTTGAAAGAAGGTGATTCCTGTGTCCACCCGTTGAGCTATCTTTGTGGTCATACCGCCCACGCAAATGCATGTCTCGTTGGCCTTGTGTGGGCCAATGTGTGTAGATGCATGGCTATCCGCGAGGCCAAGTCCATATCCGACCACGGAGCCCGAACACAGGAGTCAAGTGATGGTCCTTCATGGAACTCCCGGAGTGCTTCGTAGAGATATCCCAACTCGATTTTGTGGATCTTGCCGGGCTCATCTCATGCGAAGATGAAGTTAGACATCACTGAATGGGCGTAGCGGATTGCCGGATGTTGCACCCATGAGATCTTTCCCGCAGAGCTCGAATAGCGCCGGATAGCTATCTTCTCCCAAAAGTCTTGCAGTACGTATGCTGATATGGTGGGAATGATAGAGTGCTTCCCCTTGGGGACCTCCAGAATGTCTGCAAATTGGGCCATGCTCAATCAGACCCACTTCTTGTTTAACCGGAACTCCATATAAGCCTCGTCTATCGAGTTGTCCGCCGGAAAGTAGCACGAGTATGTGGCCAGAAACTCGCGGGTGATGCTTCTGAATAACGGTTCTACACTCTTGCTTAGTTGCCCCCAGCCGAGCTTCTCAAAGATGTATTTGTTGGGTTTCCTGGGATCTCATGAGCGAATCTAATTCCTAAGAGATCGATTCTAGGGTTTGCGCAGCGGATATAAAACAAAAATTTTAATGAAACCCTAGAACCATGCTACTATTGAATCATAGAAACGTTAGAACGCTTACCTCAATCGATCCGGGGCCTGTATCAATTGATCTGTTCGTCTGATCACTCTAGGCAGGAAGAATACCTCGCCCTCTACACGTATCCACACGTCGGGATGGATTCCAACAACTTGGAACTTGTCTGCTAGGACTAGAGATCTCGATCTCTCTTGTGTGCAAGGTTTTTGGAGGCTTAGGGTTTTATTTTTCAAGCTTAGAATCTAATTCTAAACTGAAAAATATGTATTAATTTTTCTTCTTCTTTTTCCTTCATCTAAAACCCTAGAAGACATTCTCCTTATATAGACTTTCCAAAAATCCTAATTTGACAAGGAATAGATTACTAGGAATCCTAATCTAATTAGATTTCCTAAACCTATTAGAATTCTAATCTCATTAGGTTTCCTAGATGTAATAGAATTCTAATCTCATTAGGATTCCTATACATAACAGGACTCCTAATCCCATTAGGATTCCTATTCCAATTAGGAATCTCAATCCAATTAGGATTCCTAATCGGGATAATTTAGCACACGTACTTGTCCATCCCTATTGTGTGTGACCCTATAGGCTCATCCGGAATAGCAGTAAAACGCAGAATCTCCATTCCGGTAATACAAGTCATACGCGGTCTCTAGCAAGACACTATGACTACCTATCTCGAATAGAGTTTGTTTGTGATCATACGAAAGCCAGTGATGATTCCGACTGATGATCCTTTTGTATCGCGATATCATATGTCGAACATAAGGCATGGACAAGCCACCTTATCTGATTCGACTGCTTTCTCGTTCACTGAGTTCGACTGTCTGAAATAGACGACGTTCGTCTATAGTGCGGCCACACATTTCTACAGTCTTGCTCACACGAGGGGCCCAGCGATATCTCTCTCTTTTACGAGAGGTACAAATCCCGTATTGACTATCTACAATCCAGTACATGATTCGTTTCGTACCTGATACACGCCTTTATAGTCCTCCTGTTACGCAGGACGTTTGACGTAATCAAAGCACGCAACTCCTCATGTTGGATTCTGTAGATATCTCAGGTCTTAGGATCCAATCATAGAATCGTCGTATGAGATTCAAGTCATGACGCTAGTCCATGTGACAATCTCATGCGGGTCAGTCCAGTATTCCGTTCTGCAACGAATACCTATGATTGTGATCGTATCCAATACCTATGATCATCTATGTGATCATCAATCACACATCATACTAGTCTTATTATGTCGTTATTCCCATAACGACACAAGACTAGGGAGTTTAGTATCATTCATAATGATACATGGATTTCATAACAGATCTAGCATGCAAGAACATGTAATGAATAAAATACTCTCATAAAACACATAGAAAGTATCAATACATCGAATGTATCTGAACAAAGCTCATAAACAGTACATCATAGAGCACCAAACCAACATC